GTTCGAAGAACTTCATGTAATTAAAATTGACATACATTCATTGACTGCTTGTATTTTTTTTACTTTTTTGCTGGCTATACAATCTTATTCTTTGAGCAGTTATAATATCTGTCTTGCCTATAAAAATATTATCCACTTTAATAACTTTAAAAATTTATAGAAACTACGAATAATATAAAAAATTTCTAATCAATAAACTTACGTTTAGTAAACGGCACAAATGTTTAATTTGTTTTATTATTTTCAAGGAACGTGGTAAAATATTCCTCTGATTCAGGCATTTTTCATTAAATACGATGTAACTTTAAAATGTTTATTTATCTATGCCCATTTTCTTTTTGGTATCGGTACACATACAACGTTGATGCCGGTACGCATACAATGACAGATCTCTATTCACATACACGACGACTAATCACAATCGACCCGTATAGAAATGATTTCATCGAGAGCGAATGACGAACAGTTAGGGCGTAACGCAACTTCCGTTGCATTTTCACAGATATACTCCTTAGTTGAGCCTGAAGAAATTTTATTTCTAAAATCTATTACATCTAGCCCCTAGTTTCCCTGCTATTGAACTATTAAATTTATTAAACTTCATTTATTACCAGCTATTAATTTTGGTACCGCCTAATTAGAACTACATACAAAACATCTGATTATAAAACGTGCAATTACTAAAGAATATTCATCTAGGTGGAAATTCATTCCGTTTGCATCAGTGCTTATTTCTAATTAATTATAAGGCCGGCTACCGGGAAACGAAATATTACAGGCGAGTTACTCCAAAGCCAAAGCTATCATTAAGCTTTGATTATGACTTGTGCTATACAGGAACTATAAAGATTAAATATGCAGTCATTTAGAAAAATCTATGTCAAAAATTATATGGATGGTAGCCAGAGAGGAAAGGTTAGAAAATTATTATTGCCGTGGAATGGAAATAATAAAACCATAATTATGATAGCTATAACTTGTACTTGACAATTTTATGAATCATTTGTGATGTTCGATTGTCTAACAAGCATAATTAGAAAAGGTACTATGTAATACAATAGATAATATTTCTATTACAATTCGATTTGTATATTCATTCTATATAATTAACTTCTCGTAGGGTAAGTTATAGTAATAGGCCATGAATCAAATATGAAATGTTTGCATATCTCTACGTTTCAGAGGTTTCTGAACATTTTGGCATACCTCAAAAAAATGGATGTATGTGTGTGTGTGCTTGTGCGTGTGCGGATACAAATTTTTATAGACGAATTCGGGAACATAGTTCAACCGATTTGAATAATTCAAAAAAAAATCGATTCGTATTGATGAGGAGACATGCTGATTAGTTTTTGACGAAGACAGGCCTAGCAGCTTCGGAGATATAAAGCTTAGAGTGCTAAAAATGTCAATTAATCAAATCAAGTCAAGAACGAATCAACCGATTTGATTGATCCAAGCAATATTCAATTTCTAATGATGGGAAGAAGTAGTGCTAAATTTTGACAAAGGCAGGTCCAGCCGTTTTGGAGATATGATTCTAATTCTAGCAAAAATTCTAAACGTCCCTCATATATAATTTTAGCTTTTCAATTCAGTTTATATAATACTTAGAAATATTAGACAATGTATTTTAATTCATTTTTTTATTAAATAATAATAATGAAAGTTACATTATTTATAATAATTTACTTGAAAGCATTTAATACTCCTCGAATTTCATTAAGGTACGGAAAGTTCAAGTAATTTACCTTAAGGCACGATGCTATACACCACTAGTTATATTTTGATCTATAATTATTAACTTTGCGTAGGGTAAGTTAAAGTAATCGTACAAAAATAAAAAAAAATCATATCTTTACGTTTTAAAAGTTTCTGAGCATTTTGGCATCCTTTAGAAAAAAAAGGATCAATGTGTGTGTATGTGCTGTTTTGAAATAAGAGACAAAGAGTGCAAGAAATGGGAATTGAGTTTTTAAGTGAATGGAGTGTCCGATTTCAATTTTATCAAAAATTTTACTTGTATTGACAAAACGAAGAACTCATTGAATTTTTTAGAAGACGGGACAGGCGGTTTCGGAGATCGAGTGAAAAAAGTTAAAAAAAAAATCCACTTGGCGGTCAAAAATGATCATTAGACATATGCACACCAAATTATCAGATACTTTATATAGATCTTAATAAGTATAAATTTTGTTTACATTTCTATGAGCTTCGTATCAAGATTACCATTTTTTTCTAAGGTTGGCCAAAATGTTCAGAAACCTTTGAAAGGTAAGGTTGTATAAAAATTTTTATTCTCCATTTTTTCACGATTACTATAACTTACCCTACAGGAAGTTAAAAATTCAAAATTTTCAAAAATATTCAAAATTTTACGATACTGGCAGTTCCAGCGGTTTTTCTTAAGGCACGATGCTATGCATCACTAGTTGGTACTTATTAAATTAATCAAAATTAACGAGAGCAAGATATTCATCATTAACATATGAATAGTTATAAAATTATTGCTCCTATCCCTTAATCAATCCATTTTTCAACTGACTACTGCCATCTCTCATAATACCATCGGCTCTGAATAAGATACATCGCTCTACTCCCAGTTTTCCCTATCTAAAGTTTACGCTTTTATCATAATGTCCAAAATAAATAATTCATCCGTTATTCCTTCGAATGCTTTCCCGTACTCCACAATATTTCTGTTTTGTTCATGACTGTGGTGTAGGTGTAATTAATAATAAGTGAGCGAAAGAAGCAATGCAGTCAGAATTGTTGAGAAAACATTCATTTGAGAAGCGTGGCATGTAATTTAGTGTATTTGTCTTGTCGTATTATACACCTTTCGGGGCGGTAACGTCGGAATGCTAGAATTTCATAGTAGTTACAGAACTCCTTTTGAGCGGCAACACCTTTGCATTATTTATTTCGCAATAGACTTCCACGGGCGCACCTTACATCCACCTTCGGACGACGCTTAGGGGCACAATGTATAAAGCGTTGCTCCATCGTTGCTCCATCGTTGCCCTGTTCTGGGAAATTTAGCGACGCCTTTTAAATAACACTTTACTGACTCTGGCGGAAAAATATACATATTTGCAAAACATATTTTTTTTCTTTTTTTTTAACAGCAATCAGAACCTTACGTCCTATGAGCTGTTGGGCTGAAACTTCTCCTCACTTCGTATTTTTAGATGGTAATCAATGGTTAATCCATCCACATTTGATGATTTTTATTATTAATTAATAGGGCTGAATTTTTATTGGTGCAATCTAATAGGGCTGACATTTTTATTGGTGCAGCAATGCCGGGCAAGGGCTATTTTCACTTGGAAATATATTGCTATCTATATTTCCAAGTGAAAATCGTTGTCACTGCTGCCTGACAACAGGCTGCTCGAAGTGGGTATCAAACCCTGCAAAACATTGATAAAGGAATATGAATTCTTATGAAAATTTGTGGCCATAAATGCATACATCCAATATTATTCGATTAATTTAGCGAATTCGACTGGACCTAAATCAGAAGCCACGGTGGATAAATTGTATTAGTAAATTTTATATGTGTACATTTTTTTATATGTACATTTGTAATTCAAATATCCCGCCATTATTATTAACGATGTCGGTAATGGTGCTTTCTCCCACCATAAACATG